CTAAAAAAAAAAAAAAAGGCTAGATATCCAAAGTTATAAAGTACTTGTGGGAAGCTGCTATGGACTGAATGTTTGTGTCCCCCCAAAATTCATATGTTCAAACTGGTATCTCCAATGTGATGGTATTTGGAGATGGTGCCTTCAGAGGTAATTATATCACAAGAGTGGAGTGAGTCTCTCTCTCTCTCTCTTTCTCTCTCTCTCTCTCTCTCTCATTCTCTCTCTCTCTCTCTCTCTCTCTCTCTCTCTCTTTCTCTCTCTCTTCTCTCTGCTGTGTGAGGATACTGCAAAATATCTATCTGCAAACCAGGAAGAGGACCCTGACTAGGAATTAAATTGTTCAGCATCATGGGCACCTTGATCATGAACTTCCCAGACTCCAAAACTGTGAGAAACAAATTTCTATTGTTTAAAGCCACCCAGTCTCTGGTATTTTTGTTATAACAGCCCAAATTGATTAAGACAAAAGCTAATGAGTTTTGATCTAGTAAGTGCCAAGTAAAGAGTTATAGCAAATGTCACCTTACTATAAAACAATAGAATTCTTGACTTTAGAATAATATCATTTATATTTACAGTGCAGAGAAATAATGTACATATGCATACATAATATCTTTATAGATAGACTTAAATATAAAAACTAAATGAGGCATGGGGAAACAAATATACCAGTTTCTTCAGTATCCAGTGAACACAAACTATAATCAGGAATTTGGTGCATAATTCCACAGTCAACTAATTGAAAATTGCAACTTTAACCATAAAGATTTATAAAGGTTATTGCAACAGGTAAGGCTATTATCTAAATACTATTGTAATGGTTTCATTTTCAATTATGAAGAAATATACTCTATCCCTGGCCTTTCCCATCATGCTACAGCAACTGATAAATATTTACATTCATGGTTATAACTCATTAGAAAAAGAAAATATTCAAATGTAGTTGTAGTAGATTTCCTTTTATTGGAATTCTTTGAGGAGCATCAAGTGAAACAAAATATGCATATTACTGCATTTTAGCACTTAGCCTACTGTAAGATACAGAGCATTTCAAAAAGGTTTAATGCTCTTCAGCTTAAAATATATTTCCAATTACATATGCTACTGCTTATATGATACAGGTCAAAGATTTACATTGCTTCACCAGCTCTGATTCACAGCTGGATTATGCAGAAACTATCTTCTATTTATTTACCAAAAGGCCACGTTTTAATCACAGATCATGGAAGAAGAAAACTCTCATTCCAAATCACACACCTTGAATCATGACTACTATATAATGGGAAATTCAAAAGCAGGTGATTCTTATAATTACATATTTTCCAGCGCTATGCCAACTCACTCTCTATGAAATGTCAACCAATGCTACAGGGCAAAAATGGGAGAGAACAGGAACAATGAGTAATTTAAAATAAAATTCATTTTGGTACATTAGAGTGGACTCAGAAATAACTACTTGTATCAATAAAGCTTTAAAGCCTCATATTAAGAAATGGCTGTCTTCATAATGAACTGAAATTTATAAATCATGCAGTCAATTTTGCTTATGAATATTCAGTCCTGTTTACACGTGAAGGTGGCAGAAAACTACTGAAAAGTAAATATCCATATGTGAGCATATCTTTAGAAATTTAAAAGGATCTATGAAATTGTTCATTGAAATGGACTGCATGGCTTTAAAATGCCATTTAGAGAGTTTAGATATTTATGGAACACATTTTTTCACACTGAGTTTATCCTTCAGCTCTATAAATAAAATAATAGCAAATACAAAAGATTCGTACACAAGGAAGTATTATCATCAATGTCAAGGCTACATTCAGCTTTAATGCTTTTCTCCTGCATCTATCTGATTTGATTAAATGGCACTTCAGATTATGACCACAGAACAGCACAGTCTATTAAATTGAGTGTATATGTGATGAGAAAAAGAGTCCCAATAATACATAAACTTTTAACCAAAATTTCCATGTATGTTTTACCGCCCTGTTCAACTCTCTGTCCAAAAAAACAAAATGGATATACATTTTAAGAAATACAAGCTTAAATACTTAAGGATGATATCTCAAAGTTATCTAGGAATACCTAGAAACAACTGCCAACACAGTCCCTAAGCAATGGGCTAATATAATGCACTCCAACCTACATAGAGAACTTCATCTATTGGTGCCTACCTAAATCATCCACCCGTTAAATCTTGTGTTTCTAACATTGATTTGGCTGTAGGGCTGTCACTCTTATGCCATACAAATACAGAATCACATGGATTTCGCTTGACTGAAACACATCTTCAAACAACAATGTCTGTTTATCTCTGTATCTCTAAGTACATATTTATCAAAATGTGCATCCGCAGCCCTATCAAATAAAGTCTTTGATCTGTTCCTGTAAAATCTGCTTTTGCTCTCTGATAAAATAGGTACATCACACAAATTTGAATGATTTTCAC